ATTGAGATGAACTTGCTCGATTTTAATGCTTTGAGACCTGGTCTGGTTGGGAGCTTGTCTTTTGTGGCAAGATAAACGGCTGCTAAATATCGTAGTAGTTACTCAAATTAATCCAATGTAGTCCAAATAATGAAGAAGTCTACAACCTTCTTTGAAGCAAAATTTATGGATTATAGGCGCAATTAACATGGCATTCAAGAAGTCTTCCATTGGGCTAAATACCCAAGAAAATCCACTGCTTCTTACAGAGCCTAGCCATATGATACGACAGTTTCTTTTCGAGCTGTCGGTAGGGCAATGTTGACTCAAGTCTGATCAACTGGATTATGCCCTAATGTTACATCACGGGCTAATTTTCATACTAAGATGTTTTAGTACAGAGAAAAAATAGCACTGCTCGAAGTGCATTTAAAATGAGAGAACGATTGACACAAAAAATTTCAGCCACAATTAAACACAGTTGGGGATATTCTACTTTATTGTTATGAAGATTTTTAAAATATCATTATAGGTTCAAATGAATTGTGAAAGATCATTAATTCGCAGAAACCGGAAAATTTTATCTCAAAAAATTTCCTTGAATTCTTTTTATAGTGCATAACTTTTTAGAAAGAAGTATTCGAAAAAATTCAAGCAACAGGTTAATTTTGTAAACCGTAGGAACTGTTGGATATCATAAATGTATTTATGTAATCAACCTTCGATTGCTGATTGATTTAGCTTTCAGTTCATAATGATATAAATGGACGACCTCATCATGCCTCTGCAGCACTTCCATCACGACGTGTTGCAGCATACCTTAAATTTTGTTAAGGGAGGAGCTGTCGAGTGTTCTTCAAGTGCCTGATATGTGATAACGCCTGGCGGTTGGAAACATATATTATTATATATAATTTGAATACATGCTGAGAAAGTCCATTCAAATTTTCACTCTCTTTATTTCCAGATATTTTCGACAATGTTTGTTCTAACGACGGAAAAATAATTGAAGCTCCAAACTGAATTTACTAACAACATAAGTAAGAAGGACAGTATATTTTTCAAGTTCTTGAATCTTGGAAGAAAACTTTTTTCGTCACCTGATTGTTCATTCGTCCTGATTTCAAATCATATATTTTTTATGATACATTTCACCTTTAAAAATGGTATAGAAATGATATTATTGCATAGCAAATAGCGTAAAAAAAGAGAACAAATATTTCTTCGTAATTTCGTATTTCAGGCTACAGAAGATTAATTAAATGTTTCCTCGTTCGCATGTTGCTCTAATTCCGTGGTTCCCAAACTTTTTTAGGCTGGCGCACCCTTTGGCTCCCCAGTGAATCTAAAGCCCCCCCCCCACCCCCCGCGTCAGACACATAAAAACAAACGCCTCTTTCTTCATATTTAGTATGCTGCAATTTTGAAATAGAAAGGTTAATCATAAATGTGTACTTCACAAATAGAACCCCATTTAGTAAAGCAATATATTTTTTACAGTTGTAACTGTCTCAGCACTAGAAATTAAAGACGTCTCGGACAAATTCACGGCCGGACTCGAGGCTGGTCTCGCAGCCGGTTTCACGACATCTCCAAATTCAGTGACCAAGGAACATCTCCCAAACTAATGAACGCAGCTCGATAAAACTAGGAACACGTATTCATTAGAACCTAACAGTGATGTTTAGCTCGTGAAAAAAAATTCAAATTTCACCTTCATTCAATCGGGGGTTATATGGCCATACGGGCCGAAATTCGCAGTGATCAAAGAATTTATTCCAAACTACTTAACAGATTGGAACGAAATTTTAAACATAAATTCCTAACTACCAAACGGTGCTTTTTCGCTCATGAAAATTTATTCGAGTCGAAGTCATGTTCTGCATGTGTTGTGTACAAATCATCAAACAAACGTGCGAACTTCTGACTCCGACTTCGCGGACTGCCGCCCCCCTACTGCCCCTAATTACTTTCTCACCGCCCAGATCTTTCCACCGCCCCAGGGGGGGGGGCGATATCGTCCACTTAGGGAACCACTGCTCTAATTTGATTAAGTCGAAGTTTAGGTAATTATTTATCTCACGTAATTGCCGATATGATGGCTCAAAATATATGGTTTACTAATTTGGTCTTCTCCAAGTATAGTTGGCTGATTCGGCTCTAATGTTTTGCTAATTGTTTTGTGGTAGCTAGTTTTCTAGTGGCTATAGATGACCACGAAATATTTAAATGTTTCTTTGTGCATTTTTTACGGCTGAATGTTACGCTTCGCAGCGTTTTGCTACTTCATAAGATTTTGATTATTTGATCTGGAATGAATTTAACTAATCGAGTTTATTTGTTAGTTAATTGATGTCATGATATTTCAGCGCATAGCTTATTAGACATTTCGCACCTGAGAAGTGTTGCTTATTTGATGATACGCGGCTGCTAGTGATTTTGCACTTTATTATTGGTATTTCATTCGTGCGCTTTTGTCCTGTAATCTTCAGCTAGGTTAATTGGTTCATTTTTATGTGTCTTCTATTTAAACTTGAACGCAATATTAGGCTTTAAAACCGATCATATATTTATATTTTGTCTGTATGTTAGTGTGCATTGCGTATGCACGGCTTGATTAATAGGAGTTTTGATGACTTGAATCGATTTGAAATTCAACTCAATCAAATTGTTGCAACGAAATAGAGGACAAGGTAAGCATATGCGGAAAACTTGCCAGTCTCTATTTTAGATTTCAAGCACGAGATAATAGAGATGTCTGTGAGTGATCCCTCTGTTGGCTCTCCACGAGGGGGGGGGATGCAAGTAATCGTTAATGTGACGGTGAACTGAAAATGCGAGCAGGCTCGCTATCTCTCGTGCCTATCTCGCGATTAGACAAGCTTCATACCTAGCCGCTCTCTGAACCACTTCAGCAACGAACCTAACCTTCTTCTCTTTTCAGCCAATCAGAGGAGCTCGTTCTGCTATATAAATATTGCACTTAATCACTTCAGGAACGAATATTTCCTGTCACTATTTTCGTACAATCCCCCATCAATCCAAAGTTTGCCTCTTTGCGGCACACGACCACCTAATGTTTGTCTCTTTGCTCGACACATTCCTGGCATCAACGCTTCAATAGCAATGATGTCTAACATAAGGTTCTCTTCTTCAATTGCTCTCTGAACATTATTTTCCTTAACACTGTGTCGGAAAACTCGGTCGCGTCCCAAGTTAAAATATTACGTCTTACACAACAGAACAACGAACCTAGATCGTGTTCAACAAAGCTCCCATCTTGCTTAGTTCAAGGTATTCCTTCTTAATCTACATAGTCTTAATTACATATTCCTATACAGCAATCGTTAGAAGTCTTGGTAGAATATTCGCCGTGATTACAATTTGATCCTAAACTCGGGACTGCAACGCAGCGGCATCATACTCATCATCGCAGTGAAGGTGAACATTACAATTAGTTCATAATATAAAGACATTAGCTAAAAAATGGTATGGAATAAACTTGACTAGTATGTCAGCACTTAGAGGACACAACTTTTCGCTATGAAATTATTACGAGCATAATACTATTGACACCTCTGCTCAGTGTCGTCATTGTGCAAAGCTATAGATTCCACGATACTAAAATCTTTATTATATACACAATTCAGGCCTATATAGTCGATCTCATCTCGAGGTGCAGCCAACTATTATAAATTTAGTACGTTTACTCGATTTCTCGTTGGTCATAACTCAGTATTCCGGCTCGTGCGAAGTTCCTTCTTTGAAAAAAATTTAACCCTGATGCAACATGATACGTCTGTTGCATCATGATACGCCTGATAAAAGATGTTTAGTCAGCTAAAAAGTGATATAGTTCTATTGAAAAGAACGTAGCATATATCGCGATCGTAAGCTCCATCATACATTACATGGTTAGTGATCATTAATGAACGAGTGAATGTGATAGTTGACGTTGCGTGTGCGCTCCATATGAAGTTGTTTACAGCCAGCTTTCAGTTTATCACATGAGATAAGGAGCTGTGTGATAAGTGCTTTTCCTTCATTTACGGGTATCAGGACAACATGCACTGCATCCGACAAAAAAATGATTATGTTATATTCATCATGAAAGTCGCCAAAAATATTAGGATTGATACCGCTTAGAATCCATTTCTAAGCATTGTTTTTCACATTCCGATCTCTGATCAAACCTAAAGCAATTCAGTGAATGTAAAAAGGTAAGCAAAGTCATTAAAAAACATCTTTTCTGCAGTAGCAATAATTTTGAATTAATCTGGAACATTAGCAGCCATAATAAAAAAAGATGCAGGTAAGAATATCATTATATTCATATATGGTAATATCAGGTCGTCCGCAGCAGTAAATCAGGCAGCAATAATAAAGCTTCGCTTAGAATTTTATCACAAGCACAATACGTGCATGTTTCTCATCCAACGAGCTCTCAAAACCCTCTAATCTGAAAATGACTTAAATACGGAGCTGAAAAATTGCAAAAAATCTTAGTCAATAATGGGTTTGTCAATAGAACAATCGATACCGAAATCTAAAAACTTCGATAGAATCAAAACAGACTTGACAACGAATCAGAGACTAACGCATACGTCACAACCATCTACTACGAGAATCAAAAGACCTGTGGTCATAAATAAGATGAAGTTCAATCCACCGTTCACAACAACATCGTAAGCGTAACTAATAATAAAATTAAACTACTGATCTATTTTCAAATAAGAAAATACTGAATCTTGTAGTGAACAATAACCCATGCAAAAAACGTGAGTTTTACAAGAAAAAACTTCAGTCTGGTGGACCAAGGAACCACCTAATGGAAGACCACAACGAGACCATCACTCGTCCGGTGCTGGAAGAATGCACCAGCGTCGTCATGCGATGCCCCGACGCCAACCGACTCGCGAGGCCCACATCATTAATTAAGGATTGGGACCTCAGCCATTAACCTTCAAACTACTGGAATTGTCAGAACCTTGAGACTGTTTTTGAAATAATTTTTGGTGCTTTAATTCTTTATCATATTTATATTTATTTCTAACCAAATTGATTTTTGAGTACTAGTATCCTATTTGCAAGATTTTGTACTTATGCCGATCCAAATTTCATCGCTCAAAGTGACTTGTAACTTAATAATGAATGACTGATACATTCGAAACGTTGTTAAAGATATAAAAATGTTCATCGGTACACTAATTTTCGAATTACCAAGGCAAACGAAAAATATTGTACAATATATTGAAAAAAGTAATAAGAAACTTGACAATATATCTAAACCAAAGTCATAAGACTCGTGCAGCTACTTCATAGATCATCCATTTTCATTTAGTAAGAAATTACGAAGCATCAAATTTCGCAACTGGGAACCTTTGTTTTCAGATTCATTTGGTTTTACTTTGCAACAGCCCTAACATAGCGAAAACATAACTGGAATTACAAAATTATTCCAAGGCCAATTTAAAGCAGTAAACACAAACTTTATGGAATGATTGTTGAAAGAGCCGACTATTATACTATTGATCAAAATGTTTGGATGGACCGCAATTATTTCCCCAATTTGTTATGATTTGCCAAAGGATCAACCGCGTGAAATTTTACAGCGACTAAAACAGATTAGTACAAAAAAATTAGAAGGACATTGTTGAGTGGAAGTTCAAATTATTCAGTATAACAGAAAGTTCTTAAATTTTGTATCCTTTCATCTTTTTCGAAACTTTCATGCTAATTTTCAAACAACTATCGAAAAAGTTATCCGCCAGCGAGTAGGTAAAGGATTGCGTTTGCAAGTCTTCCAACAAAATTCAGTTAATTTTCGTTCAAACTAACGAGGGAAAACGGAATTTAAATTATTTATATTAGCGATTGAAACTAGCGAATTAATTACCTAAGAGAGAACAGCGTTGGAAATTAATTCTCATTGATATTCGTATGCTTAGAAGCTTCTTACTTAGTAACGTTCATGTTCAAACCTCCACTGAGTTGTTTATTGATGAACAGATAGTCTTGGTTGAGTTGCTTTATAAACTTGAAGCCTTTTCCTTCCATGAACGTCCTGAGCGCTTCAGGGCCTTCAGGAAGTAAGAAGATCTCGATGGTGATCACTCTGATCTTCACGTCATCCCACGGGATGCTCTTCAGCACCTGCCGCACACAAATTCTGAAATAATCTTTACAATCATTATCATGGGGTAATTGCTATTTGTTAAATCGTAATGATTGAATCCTAATCAAATAATTGTAATCCTTATCTTATCTATCTTATGCTGATCATTGATTTCATAAGACCCTTAGATTAGCGACATGTTTATTGTACCTTCAATTCAACGCCCTCGACGTCGAGTGACATGTAGTCCACCACAGGGTTGCCCAGGGCCGCCAGGATGCTGTAGAATGGATAGCACGGAACTCCCACCGACTTACTGGTCTTCTCGGCGTCCACAAGAGTGTTGCCCCAAGCTTCTCTCCCTATACTGAAGAAACAAATTATCTCTTGATTATACAGGGTCCGCCATATTTATGGCAACGCATGTTTTTTGTTATTTCTCAATGTAACAAACAGTTGCATTGTTTTTTTTATTGGATGAGCTAGTAGCCAAGAATTACCTAAACAATTCTCAGATACATTTATTCAATATGACCACCCATATTTTTAATGACGGCCGCCAATCTACGCGGGAAAGCTTCACAGGAGACACGCAGCATTTATTGAGGGATCGAGTCCCATTCTCGTGTCAATTTAGATTTCACACTATCCAAAGAATCATGAGGTGTTCTGCAGACCATACTTTCTAAAATAGCCCACACAGAAAAGTCGAGAGAATTCAAATCAGGGGTTCTTGAGGGCCATTCATTTTTGCTAATGAACGAGCCATGTTTGAGCCATGTGATGGGGCAGAGTCTTATTGAAAACTCCATGGTGAGCCGTTGAAGTGTTTATGAGCCCAAGGTAACAACACAGCTTCCAAAATGTTTGAAATGTATCGTTGACTCCTGAGGGGACAAAAACGAGTGGGTACCTCCCAGTGGCGGTTACCGCGACCCAAACCATAACGGACATGGGATTTTGACGTCGTGTTGCTGTTCTGGTTGCAACAGATCCATCCCGAATCAAAACTCTGTCATTTTGACGGTTAACGCTTTATTCAATGTCAAATTTTTTCACGTCACTGAACACCAAGTTGGGCAGCGTGCCATCCTAAATGAGATCCAGAATGTGCTGGCTTCTTTCGAGCCTCATTCGTTCATGACGGTCTGTTAGTTCATGCCTTGTTTGCATCTTGTAAGGGAAGGTTTTGAGGTCATCTTTGAGGACTCTACGCATTGATGTCTGACTGACTCCTGCTTCTGCAGCCAATTTTGCTGCTTAGCGACGAGGGTTTCTCCTCAACTTCTCCCTCGTCATTTTGACCAGTTGTTTTGTTCGGACCCTTCGTTTCCTTCCATGACCAGGTCGATTGCATGTTTCACCAGTTTCCTTGAATTTTTTTACCACCTTCCACACAGTTTCACGACGAATTTGGAGCTTTTTGCAATAACTGAATTACTCTCGCCCTTTTCATGAAGGGTTACAATTGCATTTCTATCTACTGCCATAAGTAATAGTAAATTTAGACACCTTAGACTTTTGCAATATAAAATAGATGAATTAATAGATGATATTAAGCTTCATTATAAAAGAAAAGTCTCCTAGAAACCGATTTATTTTTATATAGCAAACATCCGTTGCCATAAATATGGCGGACCCTGTACTCCATGATTATACATGCCTTCAGTGATGAAGTTGGTGTGGATGTTGCAACGACGGAGACGCTGTGATAGATATTCTTTAAAATTGTCATTTCGCATTATTAGACGTTGTTTTTTTAGAAGCAGGCGTTCACTTGCAAGAAAAATTCTTTACAAACCACGCGATTACATGAGGAATTATTTTCAAGGTATTATTTTCAACGAGGTATTATTACCCAAAGACACAAACATACAAATTTTTGAACTCGACTCAGACAGGATTAGATACCAGCTACAAGACTGAGCTGGAAATAGTCTACACCATCGTTGTCTGTCAGCTCGAAGGCTCGAGGCATGAACAGATTTCAAATGTTAATGTACAGGAGTAATTACTTAACCGCGCTAATCATCACAATCTACATAAACAGCTTAATAGCTTACCACTGATGTACCCAAAATCTTACCCCGAATATTACCCATCAAAATTGGCCAATTACTCCCGAATAAAGCCTGGTGAATTACCCACAATCTTACCCCGAGTCATGACCATACAAATTATACGCACTGTCTTCCGATTAAAAACCTGACCATTTACCCACAATCTTATCCCGAATCTTGGCCACTAAAATCATGAGTTAACGACCATTTAACCCGATTGACCGAGCAATTTTTACCCGAGAACTCAGTGCTTAACATAGAGCGGCTGTCGGCAAAATACTTCTGTGGGATATATAATTGATTTAAATATTTGAAATACTTTCCAGAACCGGGATGATAATGACATAAATTGCATACAGACAGAGCTGCCAATTTTGTCTCGTGATACATTTACTCGAGCGAGAGAGAAAAGAGGAAAGCTATCTCAAGCCAGCGCTGGCTTAATATGTACGATTAAACACCGTAAATGTCATCACGCATGCCCCACATTCGTTTGATAAGTGTTCACGAGGTGACCGCGGTGTGTTACGTTCACTACAGCACCTTTAGCAAATCCGACAGACCACTTTCGTTGAGGCTATAACGTCAGTATTAATATGTCATCCGCTCATGTAAGAAGAGCGATGTTTAGCGTGATTTTCATGTACAGACCAGAACATACAAGATGATTATACGATATCACGATGTGAGAGTGGGTGAATGACCCTGACCAATTGACTACATAGACCCACGAATTTATTATAAACTGTCATTTTCTTCCGACAACTCGACCATTCTCGTCAATATCTTCCAGTCTACTGCATTGATCTAGGATTCTAGGTTAATAATATTGCACTCCAATGCAATATTTAACTGCAGAAGTGCTGCATTAAACATTGAACTATCCAATTAGCCATTGTTTTTCATATCATACGTAATTAACATTGCTAAATATATTTAATGTGGCTTATAATATTAGCTATAACGTCTCATGTAATGTATGAGAGTACTTGTCTGATTTAATATCACAAATTTGATTATTAGAATATTATCTATTGTTTTTACTTTCTAGCCTTCAACGACTCAATCAGCTCCCTTATTTTAATGTCACCGCCTCATAATCTGAGGGAATAAGTTATGGCAAATATAATTTTTGAGAGAGAAAATTTGTTGAGAGATGCACAGAAAGAACTGTTGCTAGTTGTGGATTTGATAGAGAATGTGTTAAAAAATAATTCATATGAAACAATTCAAAATTATATTTGTGAGGATAAAATATCTACCCCTTTTTAACCCTACGTAAAGAAATTATTCAAGGTAAATAATCAAATAAGAACTGAAAATCCACAGCAAAAAAACATTGGTTAAAAAATTTTTTTGAAAATACTGACGAAATTGAAAACTCCCATCCATCTGCTGCTACGTGTGATGATTACGATTTAATGTTCCGATTCTTGATTAGGTCAAAGAATGTAGTAAAATTAAAACATAATTACGTCACTGCTAAAAGAACAAATCCTTTATGGATACTGCTACATAAATTTTGTAAGAAACATTATGATAAATTTGCTTTGGGGAGACGAATTTCGACCTTACAAACAGTGATAGCTAAAAACCTAGGTATTTCTATGTCATATGTAAATAGATTGCGTTGGATAGGCAAATTAGGAGCAAAATTCGAAAAACTTGCTCAAGTCTCGTTACCCCTTTATGAGCTTATAAGAAAAGAGAGAATGACGACAAACTCATTCAAACATCTCTCCGATCTAGCCGCCAAGTAAATCACTGGTAAGAATGTACTCATATATTGAGGGCAATTTAAGCATTGCAAGAAAATTGGTTGTTTTATTTATGCTTATTTGGAATTTAATAATATTTTCGCATCGGATATTCAAAAACTCTATGTTGATTTTAAAACATTTATTTATGTGATACATATGTACACATCTATTATAATCGATATTTCCATAATGCGTTCAATGAAAGCTTCAGGCAATATTTTTATTTTCAGTATTTCTACCTTCGTAGTTCCAACAAACCTAAAAAGGCGTAGAAAAGCCTTTTCTATTAAGAGTCGTCAACTCCACCTATGTATCAAGGGTCTGCAGCAACCTGCAATTAAAAATGCGCAGAAAAGCCTTTTCTATTAAGGGTCGTCAAATCCACCTATCCAGGGCCTGCAGCAACCTGCAATTAAAAAGGCGTAGAAAAGATTTTTCCATTAATTAAGGGTCGTCCACTCCACCTATCCAGGGCATGCAGCAACCTGCAATTAAAAAGACGTAGAAAATCCTTTTCTATTATGGGTCGTTAAATCAACCTATCCAGGGCGTGCAGCAACCTGCAATTAAAAAGGCGTTAAAAAGCCTTTTCTATGAAGGCTCACACAACCAATATTCTATATTGAATAGTAATTCAATGCTAGCGTATTAATACCGTCTGCTAATGCGTGTATTTTATCATCATCACCATTCAGAGCCATTTTATTGCTCACTTTCGTATACAATTCATGATTATCACTTGGGATATTATACATTGTTATGTATAGTCTCATTATTCAATGCTCTCTTATATTCATCCATGGTTGTATTCCTTTAAATAACATTTCTCTTAATACATTTTTAACCTACAGAACACTTTGGGCGATGACAATACAGTTATTACAGCTTTGCTCGAAGACTTGCAAATTCTTCTATGGGAAGGCTGCTAGTTTCATCTTTCATTTTACCGATTAATTTTTTTGTTCAGTTTTGAATATAGGAAATGATCCTTAGCATAATTCGATGTGTCAAATAAGTCCTGATTATCCCTCATATCTTCATAGAAGTCATCGGTTTGGATTTGGTAACAGAGTGAATCGGTATCAGTGAACAATAGCTTTGCTCCATTGCTATATTTTCTTCTAATGGAGTTGTAATGAAAGTCACACATCAATGTCTTGCTTATATCTATTATGCTCATCCCCACATAGATAGGTTTATCAAACTTTATCGTTTGTTTTTGCATATGACATGATATCATGTTTCCCGAGAATATTTTGAATCATTTGAAATTAGGTTTATTAACTAATCTTCTCAATTCTTGCTTAGTCTTAACCAAATTATTTTCGACTCGGTTTCTAATGTTCTCCATTTTTTTTCGAATACAGAATTATTCATTACCTTGAAGAAATATCTATAAAAATCCGATTTTGAGTGCTGACGCATTTAATTGTGTATTCAGATCTATATCTGACTTCATCCATGGACTTCCATCGAATTTTAATATTCTATGAATTTTCTCTAGTTTGCAATCCAAGCTTCTCATGAAGTTTCAAATTACTGTGATG